AGTCGGCAGGCATCTCAGTATCGCTTCTAGGGTGTGTAATGCATTCAAATCTCCTCTGTAACTCATTTGAGTCAAGGTAATAAAGCAGTTTTGCATCTTCATTATCAGTCGCACCAACGACTCGGGTTCGTTACTTGCTTTGCATGCCTCGGCCAGCACCCCGTCTATGAGTGTCCATGCCACGTGGAAAGGTTGACCGAACAGTTCCTTTAGAATATCCCTCGCTCGGCCATACCCCAGTTCGTTCGGTAGCATGACGCATTCTTCAATAGCATCTCGGGCATTCCCGCGGCAATAATGCTTCCAGTACGGGAACGTCTGTCCTGGATCGGAGACCTGACAGTCGATGAAATTATCAAACTCTCTGACGAATCTCCAGTAGCTACTGGGGTTTCCGTCAAATGGCGTAAGCTTCACTTTGGGAAGATCTATCGAGGGGTGGCGGTTCACTACTTCAGTCGATGGTTGAGCCACTCCTGACGTAAAACTAACGGGTAGGGTCTGTTTCTCCGCTGCGGCGTGCATAGTCGAGCCTGATTGCCTAGCCTCCGATTCCCTAAGCTTCATCGACCTAATCTCCTGCTTTAACTCTATAATCTTAGGGAGATAAAAATCAAAAATCCTAACGTCAGCATGACAATCTAAGGCACATAAACTCCTACCCTTAAGAGGGCTAACTGAATTTAAAATGTGAGAATCAGTTACAGTTATTGGGTTGTGAGTGTACACCGCAGGAAAGACCATTCAGTGGGTGGAGAGTTGGTCCTTTATCGGGCTCCAGCCGTTTTCGCGTTATGATCAAAGGCATCTGGTTGCGAACGGGAGGATCCCCCAGGAGCCCTGTTTTACTTTTAGGTGGGGCCAGTGTGCAGACCAGGCTGAGTTTAATCTGCTTTTTGCGTTTTGGTTTTTTGTCTCTTATTCCCAGATGCCTCGATTGAAATCCGTTCCTGTTCTGTGAAACCATTGTTCGCTGAGCTGGCCGCCATTGGTATGAGGCAAACTACAGTCTCGTCTAATGGTATGGGGTTTGGGGAAGAGGGTTTGTACTTAAGAACATTGGAGTTCAACCGAACTGCTGAGATGAAGGGGCTTCTTAATAGTTCGGTGTCTCTAGGGCCAACTTTGGGACCTTTTAGGTTGCCTGCGAGAGTCCTACGTAAAACGGTTTGCCCATGGAGATACCCCTTAAACCTAATCAGGGGCGTTTGTGGGTGGGAGCTTCGCTGAGAATATCGTGAGCAGCTTGGAGGACCCCAAGTCGATAAGAAAGCCCAGAAGTCTCCGCGAATCTTTGGCGGTTAGCCAAGTACAGCTAAGAGGTTTATATTTATGCGGTTCTAGAAGGCTGAATATGTGCTTACATATACTTTCTAATGTGTTAGACATGGACAACCGCCCCCAGAAGATAACCCGCTTGGCACATAGTTTGCTGTCCTTTAATTTCTTTGCTGCATCCAGTATATCTTGCTGCGAAAGCTTAAGAGCCGTATTCGCGGCGCAGATTGTCGGGATAGATGTTTGGATCAGAGCTTGTAGGCTGGCACGCTGGTCGCCAAATATACTCAGCCTAGCTCTAAGGTCTTTTATTTCCAAAGTTAGCTCCTAAAAGTTTGGTCGGAGAGTGCTCCGAGCTCAGGGTAGCATTGGTAGATTATCTTCGTTCAGTGACAGAGGCAACTGACGCTAAGGTAACATGATTAAAAAGCCAGTAAAAATTGTAGATTTCCTAATTTCGGAAAGGATAATGGTAATAACGAGGAATATAGACTAGCGAAAAATTGGACAGCAAGGTTGGATCAAAGTTCGAACGTATTGCACGGATCAAGGTCCACCTCCACTGCCGTAAGCGCCGAAAGTTTATTCACTTGAACGCCCGTAAAGGTGGCCAGGGGACACAGTTTAAAGCTCTCAAAACCGAGAGCTCGCCTCAGTGTGCGGTTTAACTTCGACACAAACCGAGTGGTTGATAGGTGGAATCAGCTACCGCCGTACCTGATGGAATGTTCAGTTCATTTCAGTTCTCACAGGACGAATTGTGGTTCTTGTCAATCGAGTGTCCAGATTTGTGTTTTTGGCGAGTTTCCTTGGCTTCCAACAGTTCGATATGCAATTTTTCTGCAATATGTGGTGCAGTATCACATTTTTTGTGGTTAGGATACAGGTAGTAGTGAACGCTTACCTCAGGGAAAACCGCTATCCAACACTCTCAAGTGCCTTTTTAAAGGCATTCGCAGTAGTGCATCTTACCACTGACAGTGGCAACCGGTTCCACAACGGAATTACCCTGTTGGTGAAAAACGTTGCTCTCGGTTGCAGCCTGGAGTGCCTTTGCTGTAACCGCAAGTTGTCTCGCATACCTCTATGCGGAACCCAAGAGAACAGGCCGTCAAACCTAAGACCTGATATACCCTTGACGATCTTAAAAGTCTCGACTAGGTCTCCTCTCATCCGCCTCCGTGTGAGGGAGAACAGATTGGAATCTATAAGCCGCTGTTCATAGCTCTTTCCGCGTTGCCCGGCTATCACTCTCGTGGCCAGACGTTGAACCCTCTCTAAGGTATCGACGTCCTTCCGAAAGAAGGGGCCCAAGCCTGCACACAATATTCCAGATGCGGGTGGACGATGCTTTTGTATAGGAGACAAATACCTCTGATTTTCCGCACGTCATCGTTTTGCATGGACGAAATAGTTGTCCCCTAGCTTTGTTTGCGGCTTTCACACATTGGATACTGGATTTGAAATTCCACGTGACCTCTGTGCCTATATCCTTTACCTCGTGCACCCTTTGCATAGACAGGCTCTTTGTTGTCTCTTAGTCGTTTCTGGTCGTCAGTATATGATATTTAGAGACATTTAGTGGCAGGTCCCATTTTTCGGCCCATCTTTGTACTACCTTTATGTCCCTTGCTAGATCCCATCCCGCTATCTTGAAGTCATTTGCAAACAGAAAACAGGGATTTTGGAGATCCCGTGCTAGGTAGTTATTGTATAGTCGGAACAGCAGTGCTCCAAATACGGATCCTTGGGGTATGCCGCTTGTTGCCACTTCCTCCTCAGATATGTGAGCTTCTACTTTGACACTCAACGTCCGCTGAGCAAGAAAGCCCATTATCCAGCTCCTGACTTGCCTTTCTACTCCCAATAATTACACCTTATGCTCCAATAGATGGTGGCTGACCGAGTCGAATGCCTTCTGGAAGTCAAGATAGCATACTTCCACCGGTGGGCCCTCATGAATTCTACGTGTGACCTCGTCTAGGAATACCGGCAGATTTATCAAACTACAGGCAACTTCAAGAGGCAGTTAGACATAGTTTGGACCCAACTATACCCGGAGGTAGTATAGCAGCGGGGTTTGAGGCTGTTTAGAGTTGACATGTTTCTTGTTTCCCAATTAATCCTTCCTACAGATATCGTGCTTGAACCAGTTTCCTGCCGGAGTGTTGGAAGCCACAAGAACAGCCAAAAACACATCAACCTGGACGCAAGATTGGCACGGGCCACACATCTTCCTGTGCAAACTGAACTGAACTGAACTGGATAACAATTGCAAGACAGCGACTGAGACAATTTTATAGCTTTGGGAGAAGAAAACTTCCTACCGGAGAAAGATTATGAGCGCTTAGTTGGCGATAGCCTTTTCCAGGCTGTGATACATTACCTGACCTGCTTTACTGTTTTATCGCACCAATTAGGCGTTTTCAAGGCCGTTCGAAGGGCAGCAACCAGAGTGGCACATTCTAAATAGTCCCGTTTGCGATGCCAGTTGCTGCGCTGTGGTTATCCCTGTTTGATAGTACATGATGATCGAAGAAAATCAATCAGGGAATCGCTTGGCGAAGTTAGAAAAACAACGTGAAATTTTGCGCAAGAAGCAAAAGCAGAAACATGCTCATGAAGTTTTGTCGCTCCAGGCTAGATCAGAAACTGTTGGCGGAACGCATACCGACACTGTTCTGAGCTCCTATAAAAGATTCGAGAAAAGTGAAAAACCTAGCGAAAAACCTAGCTGGGCTTCTTACGGTGAGTTAGCAATAGTGTACGAGATTCTAACTGTGTAGCTTTATATATAACCGTTCATATACACAATGCATATGATACGTTCTTTCTAGTATGCAGCAGACGATTTCAATGGGGACAGATAATTAGTGGTTTAAACGATTTTTGTAACTGATATACCGCCCTATTATGTGATATGGACTGCGTATTTCGAAAATTTTTCAAACTGAAGATATAAATTATAATTATGATTTAAATAATAATTGGAAATTACTTTTTCATATGGATATACTCTATTGATGAACCTTATTAAGCGCGGAATTCAAATCTAGTACTTCGAAGCACTAGGTTATAGTGCCCTGCTAGCAAAAAGACTACTATTTGACTACTAAAGTGCTACTATACGGCTAGTAATATGCTATCAGATCGCTACCAGATCGTTGTAACTTGGGAGATTTTGTAGTCTTTCTTCGCTCCAAATCGCTACGATTTGACTGTTAAAATGCTACCAGAACGACTTGATGCGGTTGTCGTTTACGTAGGAAATCGCTACCGGTCGTAGCGATTTGCCGCATCCAACCCCTAATTTCCATCCGTTTACCGGGATGCGTAAATACACCTTGCAGTCCTCCAGAATGCCTTCCAAAATGACCGGACCGATATACACCAGAAATGGACGAAATTCCGTTGCTTTCCAGTTGTCAAAATCGTCGAAACCCCGACACTTTCGTTGAAAGTCGCAAGGTAGACGAGATCTGACTGCATCTAAACGATCCGATATTCAGCGTAAGTCCGTTGCGATAATTCTGGTATTATTAGAAATAGGTCCTGTCCTTCACAGTTTCGGTAGACGCTTACAGAAACCTAAACAAACCAAGTGCATGTAATCCAATGGGAATATGTGCACCATGTCTACAGTTAGAAGTTCGAATGGCGATTCCCCAACGTGATGTGCATCGTCCCTCCTGGTCCTGAAACTGTGATCAGTCCGTAGTTCACATTGTTCGGGTAGAAATATCACCTTTCCCATCGTAAACCCCTACTGTTGTGCACCTATCACAGGAGCTATAAAAGTTATAAAAATGGTGCACAGAATATTTATACAAACCGATAGTTTATTACTTTTTATAAATATAAAAACTTCTCATGATCATAATGAACATTTATGACGGTGAAACCAAATCGCTACGCAAGTAGTGATTTCGTAGCGAAATATCGCTACTTGGTGTTAGCAGGGTGCACATATATGTCTGACTAGAAGAACTGAGGATTGTGCATGAAGGTGAAATCCGTTTTCTGAATTCAGTTGTTGACTTCGTCCGACGACATCACTTTATCTATATCCCGGTACTTACCCGGTACTTACGGCGCATGTCGTCGTATAAACATTTCAGAATTAAAAAGTAGTATACCGTTAGTTACCAGAATAAATTTCACATTCGTGCTATAACAAAGATATACCTACAAGAGATAAATTTATATCTCCCACCTTTTATTCGACATGCCTCAGCAGCATTAATCTGCAAATACTAACCTGAAATTCTTTTGTATCTATCCACCTGTCACCAGAAATCTACCGGAATTCAAAGATATCAATTCTTCAGGACAGTATCTATTTTGTTCACTTCAGTTACTACACCTGGCGTCAAAAGAGTTTATCTGAGTGACGACAGTGGTAAAGTATTGCAATAAATAGCTATAACGCCTTTTTCTCTTAACCATTTTATAATTTCGGGCGGTTTTCTGGGAGAATTCTGTTTATTCCCGTAGGTTAATAATAATTATTGTTAATCGTGAATGTACATCGCCCAAAAAAGGCTTTTAAGACAATATCAATATAGCATGTAGTTGCACTGCGGAAAAGTGTGATATTTTCAATGAAGTCCAACAAATCTTCAAGAGCTAGTAGATACAATTGAATATATATATATATATATATATATATATAATTGTAATTGTTGCAATATCAACTTGTTATCGGTAGTTGGTGAACCCAGTAATCACTCAACGTTAGTCTTA